TGCGCTCCTTCATTTTTAGATGCACAATAGGTAGGCGCCGAAATGCTGCTGCAACATGCGTAGACCTGAGACCGATGTTCGCGCCTTTAATGGCGGTGACGAATTTTAACACCTTAAAAGTCCAGTGCTATGCCTACAATCTTGGTTTTGGCAAAACGATGTAACTTCACTGCTATGCGCCCAACTCAATCTTAAAGTAAATTCGCATCTTGCTGAAACACATGAGATACAATTGTTGTGGTGCTTCATTCACATGCCTACTCACACTCTATCCACACCTGAAACATAGCACGAATCACCTGACGGACATGCATCTGCTGATGCATTTGGACCAAAAGCATCATGCCACAATATTACGCTGCGTGTTGATAGGCCGACGGAAAGACTATATAGGCGAGCACACAAGTCAGTTGTAGGCAAGACAAGGGACAGTCGACGAGATGGAGTGCGGTGGTTGGCCATGTTCATACCCGTGGAAGTGGGCTCCATGGTTTGAGGTTGCGAAGGGTTCGCAATGGACACGTGACCAGTCTTGTGGCACATTGCCAATTTTAAATTGCGCTTTGTGGTGACGGTTATCTGCATCAAGTCGAAGGACTGAGAGGATTGATAAAATGCGGAAAAATTGAAAGTGACAATGGAAACTGTTTGCAAGGCCATGATGGCGAGCACTTTCAAGATCCACTCGCTTAAAATCACGGCATCATGGAAGACGCCTAGTTGCGCCATAGTGGACTACGCACACGTGGACATCATAGTCAAGGCATGATGCAAAGCCATGCGGTTTGTATGCACTCGCGGAGCGAACCAACATATATTGGAAGGATGAAGTCGGGACGAGACAGTGATCACTAGCCCACCTCCAATTCGCATTGCGCAATAACGTTCACAAACCTCTTTACGCCATGCAGCACAATGTTCTCCTCATCTCTCAATCGTCTTCCCTCACTAGTTTACCTATTTCCAGTCCACGTCTTCTTCACGTCGCTTGGGCACCGAAATTGCAACACTCACACACGCATTGCCAGCACAATCGGAAAGCGAGGGAGGTGGGATGCAGAAAGGTGAAGTTGGGAGAGACGCATTGTCACCCACCGCTTTATTAACATATGCACCCTCACTATCACACAATCACACATCCATCAGCCATGAACAGTAAGTGGGGTGATGTTTCGCCATCGACTCTTGGCAGACGCCTGCTTAAATATAACAGACCTCCGAAACACGACGGGACAGGAAACCGGGCAAAATTATAATTACATGAAGAAATGAAGGGAGAGGTAAGGAATTGCAGTTGTCCTCCACCTCGTCCTCTTTGTCCTCCTCCTTCTCATTCTATTCGCACTACAACCACTCCTGCAGCTGTGTCGCAGCAGGAGCAGCAGCAAACGCAACATCGCCTCAATGGTGGCGCATCTCCGTCATTTGTGCCACTGTGCTGGTGATGATGTTGGTTTTGGCTCAGGTGTCTGCACATTGTTGTGACAAGTGGAGGAGTGGGTAAATGATTGCCACCACTTACTTTCATGTTGCCAATGTCTCTTCCTTTCGCCACCTCAATCTCCTCCTTCTCCTCCTTTATTCTACCATCC